GGTATGATTCTAAACATGGAAAATATGTATATAATAATTTCATTCCGTAAAGGTTGCTTTGAATTTTGAAATATATTTAGACGCCAAGAAAGGTTAGGAATGGTTCTGTTTGAACTTCGTTAATTAGTTTGCAATTTTCTGGAAAATATGAAATCTTGGTTGAAAAGGAGAGGAAAACATAGTCTGTAACCGTTGGGATTGTAATCACTTACATTTAGCGCTTGTGGCTTTTTTTTCGTGCATCGTGCGGGGTTGCGCTGATCCGAATCTCTGTGCTTTCCGTCAGGAGTACCTCATCTTAAAAGCAACGTGTACAGTTATGTGGCAGGTAGATCATACAGACTTTTCCACGAAGTGATGCTTGTTTATCAGCCTCAGAAGAAAGAATGACAAGTCAGTTGATCGAACCCGAAAGTCCTGTTTAGAGTATGAGCAGAGCTAATTTATGAGGGCAGTCGAAGAAATAACTAACAGATATTAGTTTATTTGAAGCTAAAAATTTAATGGCGAAGATACCGTCCAGGTAGCAGTCTAAGGTGGCAGAAAATGTCTGATGATTCCTGTCTCGTGGATGACTTTTTTTCAAGTTCTGCATGAATATCTCAGATAGCAGTGAGTTTTCGGCCAGAGCGGTTTGACTTCTGATTGTTGTTAAGGTTGTTCGAAAAAAGAATACAACGATAAAGTTGGTGGTGGGAAAAGGAGCAGTAGCCAACGACCTTATTCGTCTCGATTGGTGCATCGCACCATAACGCTCCACAATGATCAAGGATGATGCTTTTTAATCTAATTCATATTTGATCTGGAGAGCAAAGGCTTATGCAAAATGATGAAGGGCTTTCTATAGTCTATCGGGAAGCAAGACAGCTCTGGCGAGAAACTTCGAGTCCCTTGACATGTTAATTTAATTGGTTCATAAATAACATACATAGTACCTACACAATTTACTTCAGAAACTTAAACTTCTACTTTAGGGAACTCTGGAAAATCTTTCATTAAAGAAAACGCACATAGAGCAAAATGACTCATCAAAGGACATAAACAAATTGCTATACGACAGTACCATTCATGAGTACTGTTTGTGAATATCATTCTGCCAAAACAGTGAAAGGTTCCACTATCCAGTGCTTAAATATGACAAAAATAATTATTTGCGTAAGTTTTAGCATTTAATGCTTACTGGTTCACGTGCATAAAATCTAGAGCAGTTTAAATACCACCTTACATAAGCTTGTATATTGGTGAATGGGTAGTCACGTTATACATTTAAGTATTATTTTTGTGTTATTCAATTATGTGAAAATGGAGATTTTACTGCTTGACTTGCATGATCGTTGAACATCACTTTTCGTCGTGCAAAAAGAAATTATTTCAATCAGAGAAGTGACAGCATTATGATACCAAGGGATAATGGGAGGTATGGATAAAGAAAATCACAATTTCGACTAGTCAAAAGGAATATGACAAAGAAAGAAGAATAAGGTCACAATGCTGGAGTAAGTATCAGAATAAGAAATGTATGAGAACAGAACAGAATGTAAATAACGCTGTTAAATATTTGGAGATTCATGAAAATGCACGTCAAAGAAAGTAAAAAAATGACCTGTGAACGATGTCAGTCCTTGTACAGATGTTAATGTATTGGATCGCATAAATTTACGATGGGACGAACACTACGAAGGGATATTGTGCGCAGGATGCAAGATGCCATTTAGTACAATGTTGATCAACGGGACCCACTTGTAAACGATCAGTCTACAAATTATGACTTGAATGTATTTGGAAAATTTGCAAATGTTTCATCGATTCGAAATAATGATAATTTGTGAACGTACCGGTGCCTTTGCAGAACATTTAGTCAAAAGGATGCCAATTTAATTTTGTAGATGACTAATTGAATTAATACAAATATTTTCAACTCATCAGTTGTCATTTTCGATGACCGCTATTCCGTTCCGGTCAGGCAGCGTCGCTAACTTTCCCGATCCTCTTCCAGCATATAATGTTCGGCAGATCATAATCGGACTCTGAAGCAAAGTGTGTCGACCTGACCCAGGTCGCTTTTTGCCATTCTCTGCGTCTTTGGCCGGTTGAGTGGGCAGGTTATAGCTTCTTTGCCTTCCTTTCTAGAAGCCTTTGCAAGGTGTACCCAAACCATCTCAGTTATCACATCTGATCCGGGAAGCAGCGGCTCTACACCAAAGCAGTCGCGGATTTTTGTGGTACTCTTGACCATGTCGAGACGCTTGATCCCAGCGATTTGTCTGAAAAAGCAATCTTCAGCCGCTTTTACTATGACTCGAGGCTATTCGGTCAAGGACCACATTCATGGTAGTAAACGAACATCGGGAATAACACCGACTTGAACACAACGAGCTTAGCCTTAAACCTGATCTCTGCTTTGTACTTGACTTTGCCCTGATGATGCTACGGTCTATGCAGCAAAATGCGTCGGCGATAAACGCATTTGCATACGTGAGAAGCCAATATCGACTATTACTCGAGAATCTAAGATAAGGCCGATATTGTGCGGGTGATGCTTCGGCCTGACCTCAAGCCACACTGTTGTTCCTAGATTTTATAGCCTGTCATTTCGCAACATCCGCAAAGTTTTCCGGGAGGCTCAGTAAAGTAACGGCCCAATAATTGCGTTGTTAGAACAGCCCCTGTTCTCTATTTTGCTGATGTCTTTCTATTGACAAATTCGTGATAACCACAGCATACCATCTCAGGGCTGATTTCGACGCAGTCAGCAGCCTTGTAACTTCTCAAGCAATTAACATTTTTTTCTGATTTTATTCACTGAAAGACTAATATCCTTTGCTTGTTACTGTTCCGGCGAATCTTCCAGCTCTTGCTCAATATTAAAGAGTTGCTCAAAGTACTCTCACGATTACCTAATTAGATCTTTTGTGAAAGAACATCCCGTGTCTTATCCTTCAGGACTCTATGACTACCCTTCTTTCCATCCCCGAGGTCTTACTGCTAACTGTTTCTCATAATCCTTAGTAGTAGACCAATATTTCGTGCGATATAACTTGGCTGGTGGGACGGTGGAATCGAACAGCTGTTTCTTCATGGACATGGAAATTACTGTAAAATGTTTATAAACTTCAAGTTTCATCTCGCGGGTAGATCCCTTAAGAATACATTTGGAAGATGCATTGATTATTCATCTGAAATGCCGATTTATTGAATATTGATTTGGCGCTTTCAAATCGTTCACTCTAGTCTAGTTGCTGTTGTTGTATCCTCGTCACTTATAGACGTATAGAGCTTGAACAACAGATTCAATGTTCAGAACAGTACTAGACAACATTTGCTGTTGCAGTTAATGTCACATTTTTCTTACAGACTGATCTGCTTCAATAATGTATCTGCAACATTTGCATTATGTTCTAACATTTACGGCTTTTGAATGATTTCACACGAGAAACGTTATTTAACAATACAATTTCTATTTGGAGCCGTGATCAAGTCAAGAAACGAATCGGTCTATGATTTCTTCACACAGTTTTCTAAGCCGTAGCTTTCTCATTGCCAGAATTCACGATTTTTTTGGTATGGTCGTAGTGATACTTATGTTATGGCATATTCTTTACGATCCCGCATCTTTTAGCGTGTAATAGTGTTACACTAAATTTTTTCTTTCGTATTTCTTGAACAACGAGCTCCTGCTTAGATTATTATCAACTGGTGAACTTTGACCGACGCTTTCAAAATAAATCTTGAATTGTTAAAACGACAACGCCCAATCGAGATACTGTAGGTTTGATAGTCAGGTAAATTTCTGCTGGTAGCGAATTTACCAGCGGTTGCGGATATCCAGGGTTTTTAAAAGTCGCGTTGTTGTACAAAAGTGCCTTAAGTCATCAGTTAAAGAAGAGTTTATAAATGAAACACGACGTACGTTGGAAATATAGTCGAAGCGACCGTATAGTGGATGCAGATGGAAGCAGAAATGTTGAAGATGGCGTTTTTTCGCAAATGAACGTGGCGTACGCGCAAATTGGTCTTGTATCTGGTTGTCTGGTAGCTCGACATGTTGGCAGTGATGGCGGCTGAGGTGAAGTCAGGTGAGATAAGGTTGTCATTAGGACGAGTGAAGGCTTTCCTTTCGTTCGATGGTCGTCGTCTCGTCTTGCCTCGTCTCGACTCGCCTTGGGCGTTGGCGGGAGGGACTTAGCGACTGACGAAAACGAGGCAAACGAACTTCATCCGTCGGCAGCAGAGAGTAGCAAGGCGAAACTTTGCTGACTATTGTCGTTGAAAAACGTTCTACGACTGGACGAGCCGACGGACGGCCAGACACAGAAGTAGAAGACGAACGACGACGGTGCACACTTTTTCGTCGCCAGTGTTCATCGGATAGGATACTCACGTCACAGCTAATGTTGCCGCCTCCGCCTTCGAAATACAGAGTAAGAACGAGTTGAGTGGCGCGAATATTCTTCGTCGTGATCGCGTTGTTGTGTTTGATGGGTATCATGTTTTGTGATGAGGTGGCACGAGGAACGAAGATTTACCTCAAGGTAGAAGGAGGTGGCTGGCAGCTGATACCTCGACTTCGTTCCATGCAGCAGTTAACTTTCGCTGCCGGCCCCGAGCTCATGTTGTTCATGGCCCCACCAATCTGTTCCATTTGCAGATACTTGTCCGCTTGGTGGCAGGCACCGCAGCGATACGTTTTTCTGCCAGGACGGTTTCTTTCCGATATTACCTACATTTACCACATGTAAGAGACCGGGGTTGTTTAGTCGATAGTGCGTCAGACCGAGAACGGAGGGCGGGGTCACTCGTCTTTGTTCCTTCTGAGGTTGATAAGTGAGTGCCAACCTGGAGGGAGGATCCAGGGGACTATACACTGTGCTTGCCACGTAGCTACCACTGTCAGTCAGCCTCTAAAACAAGCCTCTCCTCATTGATGGCATGGAAATGGAGATTGGTGCTCTCAGCGTTAACTTCATGGAAAGAAATGACCCATCATTAACGTGTAATGAGGGCTGATATTCCGACGGATATTTTTTTTAACGTGCGCTTAAAAGTAGTATGTGTTGTCCAGTAAGTTTTCAATCAGATATATGCCCTAGAAGTCAATGCATAAAATATTCTTTAATTAGGGCTTTCATTTAACTTTGAGTGTATAATTTAATATCTTAAAACAGCAGCCATAGTCTGCATAAACGGTGCCGTAGGCTACTAGAAGTAAGGGAACGGTGCGTTTTGCCGATGAATCCAGAGAAATGACAGGAAATATTAATTTAAGTAAATTTCTTTCTTCAATTTAAATAGTTCAGTTCAGGTTCAGAAAATGTACAACCACTGCTGAATCCAGATCTGCGGCGATCTCGGATATGAAGGTTTGAAAGTTGTAATACCGGTATTACTTTCATGATTGGACAATTTTGGCGCTCTTGATTTCGTTTTTCTTTTTCTGTCGTGTGGCTGGAGGAGATGACTAGCGACATTATGTTTCAATGTCAAGATTTCTAAGGCAGTGAATGGCCGCAGCGGTAGTATTGTTAAATCAGTCATGCTGCTGTCGAACTTTCACAGCGGGCATTCGGAAATATTGTGCTGCATGGTCTGCTCTTCATGACCGCAGTCGTACTGCGGGTTGGATTTCACGGAGTAGGTGTCCACAGCGTCCTCGTCCTGTTCCAATCCTATTTATTCTCTACCATTCTTGGCGATGCAAGTACATGCAAGGGTGTTTTGTTTTGGGTTGGAGATTTTATGGAGAGCTGTGGCGTCCTACTCTGCACGCCACCGTTACTCGAGACTCAGGTGCAGCGTTGTTGCTCGTTCCCCTGATGGGTGGCGAGATTTCAGGCGTCTTGCTGACGGCTGTTGGACAACACAATGCATGTGTAACTGGTGATTCCTGTCAGTGTTCTGGAAAATGCTATACACCTGCTCGCCCCTCCGGAGTTGAGAGCGTTCAGTGTACACCAGAATCGGTGACCACTGAGTTTGGGTTGGCTTCAGGGTTCCTGTTACTATTCGCATCGCATCATTGCGCTCCCTGTCTAATTTGCTGATGTTGCAGCTATGGCTCCAAACAGGGGAACAATTTTGCACGAGAGAATACACAAGCGCGAAGACCGTAGTACGCAGCACGCGGGTGCCTGCTCCCCAAGAGGTTCCGGAAGTTTTCATAACAAGTTTATTTTCGTCTTGATCTTCTGCTGTGTCTTTTCTAGATGTGGCTTAAATGACAGGGTTCGATCAGGAGTGACACCGAGATATTTTGACTTCGATTGGTGCTACACGCGTTGACCGCAAAACTCAACTGTGAGTTTCTCCTTGACCAGTCGATTGTCCAAATGATAAACCATGGCGCAAGTCTTTAAAGGGTCGAAATGTCTTTCATTCCTGCCATGAAATCTATATGAGGATCATTCTCGGAAAAACATGATGACCATGATAATAGTCTACCGCATGAAATAACTTCCCACGCTCAGTTTTCAAGTCTTTCAACCTGGTGCAAAAAATGTTTTCAGTATGCACCTGCAAAGGCTATACCCAGACACCGAAACACAGCTTGTTATCCAAAACATAAGAGGGCAACTGCGCCATACTTGATCTTATCCACAGGCGCCTCGCTACCTTGAGATGCGAAATGGTTGCATATCTTCCTTCAGACTAAATAGTGGTTGCGCAGTCTCTGGATTCGAAATAAAGTATAGAAATAATTAATTGAAAATAATATATTTAAATAAATTTATATTTGTGAACTCTAATGAGAAACTATTGTTTAGGTCTACTTGCAGAAGTGTTTTGGATA